AACTGCTGCAAAACATACCACAATTAATCACTAAAGTTGACAACGAGAATTTGATGGCTCTTGTTGAAGAGGAGAATGTGAAAAATGGCTTGTTCTCAATGAATCCCAGAAAGTCCCCGGGCACAGATAGAATGCCAGCACTATTGTTTCAACACTTTTGGTCGTTGGTGAAAGAAGATATATGTGTGGCTGTGGGGAGTTTCTTCCAATCGGGTCAGTTATTTGCCTACTGGAATCACACACTTATCACATTTATACCCAAATGCACAAACCCTGAACATCTTAGCCAATTCAGGCCCATTAGTTTGTGTACAATGGCCTACAAATTAATTTCTAAAATCTTAGATGGAAGATTGAGGACATGTATTGATAAGTGTGTGAATGAAGCTCAGTCAGCTTTTTTTCCAGTGAGAAATTTGACAGATAATGTAGTTATTGCAAATGAGGGTCTATATTTTTTAAAAAGGCATAGATCAGGGAATCATAAGTATATGGCAGATAAACTCAATATGATGAAGGCGTATGATAGAATTGAGTGGTCTAATATTAAACTCACTATGCTCAGAATGGGGTTTGCTGTTAAATCTGTGAGATGAATTATGGAATGTGTGTCCACTGTGTCTTTTTCTTTTATCGTTAATGGCTGCACTCAGAGGCGGACCCACGTAGGGGCCCGCAGGGGCTCGTGCCCCTGTAGCATTAAGACATAGAGGGCTTATATATATATATATATATATATAAGAAATAATAAAAAAAAAAAAGAAAGAATGAACAAATGTCTAATTGATAAAAAAATTAAACCTAAGAGGCATTTAAATAAACTTTTAAGAAGTATTATTGGAATGTTAATTCATAACTAGATGATTGATTTTTATATATCTTTCATTTTAGTTATTTTTTAAAAGAAAAATAATAGTTGTATGTAATTAGTTGCATTGTTTTAATTGAGTGGTTTGGCTTATTAAAGTAGCTCTTGTAAATGGATCTATTAACTAATTACCTTTTATATATTTTATTTTTTAATTATTTTACTATTTATGTTAAGAATTATGAATTTTCACTAAAATAAATTTAACTTAATCAATGAAGATTAATATTAAAATACAATATAGTACATAAATGGCGTCTGCCCGTGGGCTATATGCAATAAATGGAAATAACTGAACAGACCGAATAAAATATATTATATATATATATTATAGATTTGTATATAGATTATATTATATTATATAGATTATAATATAATATACATATATATATATTAATAATGATATTATATATACATTTTACAATGTATAGTTGGTCGGTTTGACAAAACCGTCTGAAACCGACAAAGAAGTTCGGTCAGCTAATGTTCTGTTTAAATTGATACTCGGTCGATTTCTATTATTGGCATAGTATGGTTCAATTATTTCGGTTTTCCTAATTCGTTACGGTCGGACGACCGAACCGACAGATGCACACCTCTAATTGTGCCCCTCCCCTTTCAAATTTCTGCGTCCGCCCCTGGCTGCACTACTGGTTATGTCTCTGCTCAAAGAGGACTTAGACAGGGGACCCTGTCCTCTTATCTTTTTATTCATGTCTCTGAAGTTCTTTCTGCTTTGATCAAGTCTGAGATGGAAAGAGAAGTGTTTAGAGGGGTCTCTGTAGCTAGAGGGTCACATATGCTCTCTCACTTATTATTTGCGGATGATTCTCTAGTCATTTGTAAGGCAGACGGATACCAATCCAGAGTTCTCTTATCTTTTCTCTCAAGATACCAAAGATTCACAAGGCAGAAGGTGAACACATAAAAGTCCTCTATCTTTTTCATTAAGAACAAAGAATTGGAAACTCAGAATAAAGTGTGCAAGTTTTTCCCTGGAATTCAAATTCAGGGAGCCACCAGATACTTGGGGATGCCCCTTGGGATTGGAAGATCAAAAAAGGAGATTTTCAGGTTTGTTACAGAGGCTGTGAGGAGTAGACTAACTAGTTGGGAGATAGGTGCTTATCAAATCGGTTCTGAATGCATTGCCTTTACTTGTTATGTCTTGCTACATGTTACCTACTAGTATTTGTAATGAAGTGATCAGCCCGATCTCTAAGTTCTGGTGGAGTGGAGGGGGTGACCATGGCAAAAGGGTTCATTGGAAAAGGTGGAATCATCTCACCTTGACCAAAGAGCAGGGAGGTTTGGGGTTTAAAGAAATTCACATGTTTAATGAATCAATGCTTGTCAAACAATTGTGGAGACTAATAACTCAACCACAACTACTCAAGAGCAAAATATTGAAGTGCAGGTATTTTTCTAAAACCACTATCTTTGACGCTAAGATGAATAATAACTCTTCTTGGCTATGGAGGTTCTGGTGGACAGTAATGAGCTAGTTGAGAGAAGGGCTGCAGGTGGAAATAAAAAATGGAGCCTCTGTGAGGCTGAATGACCACAATTAGGTTCCTGGTATCAAAGGAAGGAGGTTGATGCTTAAGCAGGGTGTTGAAGGAGGTAACATTAAAGTGCAAGAGTTGATTGATGATGAAAGCAATAGATGGAATGAACCGTTGGTTGCAAATGAGGATAGCAATGCCCTGCTGCAAATTCAGAACCTGGACAGAGTTGCTGAGGATAAATGGAGATGGACTTTTGGAGTTTAGGGCAGATTTTTAGTGGCATCCTCATACTCCTACTTGCATAGGCAGAAACTGTTATTGCTGGACATAGCTGAGGCAGTGGCAATTCCAAAAGAAACCAAATAATCATAATGAGGACTTGGAGTCTCCAAGTAAAAGGTAAGCTAAAACAATTTTGTGGAAATGTGTGAATGGTGTCTTACTGTTTGTGCCAATCTGAGAAGGAGAGGAATAGAAGTCGATATTATCTGTAGTTGTTGTGGAGAGTATAGAGCATGTTCTATTGACCTGCAGGAGAGCCAAGAAAATCTGGCAGCATACTCATGTTAGCTGGGATGGATTAAGGACAGAGGAGGACATGTTTGGGGACTAGTGGGGATCAGTTTGCTCTATCAAGAACACTGCAGTGGATGAGGCCAGAATAGAACTCTCTACTTACATATTATGGTGGCTATGAAAGGCAAGGAATCTGTGGGTTTTTGAAAGAGTTTGGAGGTCGGATCATGGTATAGTGGAAGGTGCTTGGCTAGAATGGCAGGAGTTTGCAGAGTTGAAGTCTTGCAGAAGAACAAGAATGGCTTCGAATAGTCTGATTTTTCAGCTCAGTGTCTAAGTGGTGTGGTTGTCTGCTAGGCTCTGTTTTCTGATTCTTGTTGGGTCATTTGTGTTGTTTGTTTGTTTGATTTGTGATCATCTGGAGGGCTCAAAAGTGCTTTTCTGCCTCTGGGGTGTTATTTGTGTCAAGATTTGTTAAGGCTTCCATTGTGGTAGTGATCCCTGGCTTAGGCCTTCGGCTTTTAATTTGTTGGATTGTAATTAAACATTGTACTCTTTGTTTGTGTGTTATGGAGTTTACCTATCGTTTGGAAAAAAAAAGACTAATAGGCGATCCAAACGAGTTTGTGTGTTATGGAGTTTACATACGTTTGAGAAAAAAAATAAAAGACTAATAGGCGATCTAAACGACCACCTGGCGGTCCGGGTGCTCATATATATATTTCTATTTTTAATAATAATTTTTAAAATATCATAAAACCAAGTTTTAATTTTAAAACATGAAATGCACAAATGTACAATAATTATAAAATGAAAAAATAATAACTATACAAATTTAGGATAATAACTATATGAATTTTGAAAACTTTTTTTTAATTAAACTAATTAGTATATTTTATAATTTATGTTTTGTTAGGTATTCATTATTTTAAATATAAATTTATAGTATTTTACGCCCCGCCTAGGTGCTAGGTCACAGTCTGTCTCCTACAGAGTGTCTAGTGACTTTTAGAACCACAAAAATACTACTATATATCCTCTCGCTCATACAAAAAAATATGAAGAGTTATTTAAAAGACGAGAGACACGAGAAAAGAAAAATTGGAAAGACATAATATAGATCAAGAGTCGAGAAAGACTAATAAAGGCAAGTTCCTGTGAGTTTTATGTGCAATTTAATTAATTCAAAAGACTTAGATAAAAATCACATGTTTAGAATTTATTGGTTATATATATTTTTAATTTCTAACATATAAAACTTAAATTGTTTGCAACAAATTGTTAGAATAAATTTTTTTGTTAACTGTAATTTTCACCGCTAAAAATGTATGAATGAAAATACAATTAAAAAAATATATAGTTACACACGTTACACTGCACTCAAACCAAATTGTTGGAGAGGACTCACGTTTGACAAAGATTTTTTTTGGTTGTGTAGTGTGTTTTGGTCGGAAAAATCCAAACAAACAAAACTGGCAAGAATCTTTTACTGTTAAATAAATAATAAGCAAACGAGTAGAGACGAGCGAAGCACGTTTCGGTCCCATTTTGAACTGGTTTTTTTAGATCCCAAAATCACTCACATTTTGCCAGCTCTGCTCCTCTCCTATGCATCAACATTTGCTCGCCCCATTTGCCATATTTGGCGTTTTCAAAATAAAATTACTCTTCTTTTTTTTTTTCTTTTTTCTTTTACCTGTGCTTCTTTCCGCTTTCTATATATAGCTTTCATTTTACATGCATATATTCTGAATGATAGCCTCTTATTTGCAACATCGAGAGCTATTCTGAGATAGGTAATAATAATAATAATAATAATAATAATAATAATAATAATAATAATAATAATAATAATAATAATAATAATAATAATAATAATAATAATAATACTCTTTACATTGTTCAAATCTTGTTTGTTGATTTATGATGTGCATTGATCTCTGACTTGATTAGGATTTGTATTAGATTCGTGTTTGTGCATTCACGTGTTTATGTCTGTGATCTTATGAGATATATTGTATTCGATCGATTTTGGATCGTCTGCGATTCGATTAAATAGCGTGTTGTTGCCTATTTGTGTTGATCAGATTTATGCAACAGAAGCAAGAATGAAGGGAGCTGTTGTAGTAGCGATTATAGCTGCCATTGGCAACCTGTTGCAGGGATGGGACAATGCTACTATAGCTGGTACATATATCTATGCTCACTCCAGTTTTGTTTTGTTTCAAGATTCTGCCTTATTAATGTTTGGAATGTTTGTGATAGTAAGACAAATGAAATTCGGTTTGTGTGAAAAATTTGTACCCTATCATTTTCAGGATCTGTGCTTTACATAAAACGAGAATTCGATTTGCAGAGTCAGCCTACGATAGAAGGACTGATTGTGGCTATGTCCCTAATCGGAGCAACGGTTATCACAACATTTTCTGGGCCGGTATCCGATTTGGTGGGACGGCGCCCAATGCTAATAATCTCATCAGTTATGTATTTTACGAGTGGTTTAGTGATGTTATGGGCTCCGAATGTATACGTTCTCCTCTTGGCAAGGCTTTTGGATGGCTTTGGAGTTGGTCTTGCGGTGACTCTTGTTCCTGTGTATATATCCGAGACAGCTCCTCCAGAAATAAGAGGGTTACTAAATACATTTCCTCAGTTCACTGGTTGTGTTGGCATGTTCTTTTCATACTGCATGGTCTTTGGAATGTCATTGATGGATTCACCCAGTTGGAGGGTGATGCTTGGGGTTCTCTCAATTCCTTCTGTCGTCTACTTTGTGCTGGCGCTCTTTTTCTTACCCGAATCTCCAAGATGGCTGGTTAGTAAAGGGAAGATGAAAGAGGCGAAACGAGTTCTACAAAGAATTCGCGGACGGGATGACGTGTCAGGTATATTTGTTTGCTTTCAGAATGAAAACAATTTGTTTTAAGTAATTTAAATCATCAGCAAAAACAACATTTAAATTTGTGATGTGGACAGGCGAGATGGCTTTGTTACTCGAGGGTCTGGGTGTCGGAGGCGATGGTACATCTATAGAGGAGTACATAATTGGCCCAGACGGTGACTTGGCAGATACAGACGAGCATGTTGCACAGAATAAAGAGCATATAAAGTTGTACGGTGCTGAAGAGGGCCAATCCTGGATAGCCAAACCCGTGTCAGGACAGAGTACTCTGGGTATGGCCTCCCGTCAAGGAAGCATGGTTAATCGGAGCATGCTTATGGACCCAATGGTCACCCTATTCGGGAGTGTTCACGAGAAGCTCCCCGAGACGGGAAGCATGCTCATCTCGAACTTCGGCAGCATGTTCAACGTGCCCGAGAAGCAGCACCAACCCTGGGACGAAGAAACTCTGCAACGAGACCCTGTTGCTGATAATGCATCAGATTCGGGGGCCGAATCTGATGACAACTTGAGGAGCCCGTTGCTTTCACGTCAGGGTACAAATGGTGACAAGGACAGTAACATCAACAATCTTGGTGAACAAGTGACTGGTATGGGGATCGGTGGTGGATGGCAGCTGGCGTATAAAAAGGACGAGAAGAATTCGGGTGGTCTTAAGAGGATCTACTTGCACCAGGAGGGTGGGCCAGGGTCGAGGCGTGGTTCGCTTCTCGAGGGAGACTTTATCCATGCCGCTGCTTTAGTCAGCCACTCGGTTCTTCATCCGGATGCTATTTTAAGTCATCAGTCGATCGAAGCAGCAACTCAAACGAAACCTGAATCTGTGGCTAAAGGCCCGAGCTGGAGGGAACTTTTTGAACCGGGTGTCAAACATGCGCTCATTGTAGGTGTTGGAATTCAAATTCTTCAGCAGGTAACCAAGTTTGCCTTCTTTTTCCTTTCCATATGTTGCAATGCTCGTTGACTCGTGGAGCCAAAAATTTCATAAGTTGCTGTATTTTGTATTCCTCACTAAGTTTTAGCATTTATACTTGCAATGAAGTATTTATATTGAATTGCTGAATTAAAGCTCCTCCAGTCAAGTTCATTCCAATGAGAAATAAACCATTGAATCCCGACGTGGCTCCAGCTTTCAAGCTCTAGTTCTATATATTGTAAAATATTTGAGCTTGAGGTAGAGCCAGGCTAACTTCAGGTTCGGCTCGATTACTCGTGTACTTAGATGACCACATAGGTCTCCAACGAACTACTTCAAGGTTGAGCAATCAAAATAACGTTTTCGGGTAGTAATCATTTTGGATGATGTTTCCATAGATTTTGATAGTTTATGACATGTACATTGGAACCAAGAAATCAATTCATATGAACCTATTGTGTTCAAACAGATACACAACTTATTTACTCTGAAATTGCACTTGTATGCATGTACATTATTATTTATCCTTTTAACTCTTTGGTACACAGTTCTCTGGCATTAATGGAGTTCTCTACTACACTCCTCAAATTCTGGAACAAGCCGGTGTCGGAGTTCTCCTTTCAAATTTGGGCATCGGTTCAGAATCTGCATCTTTTCTTATTAGTGGTCTCACAACATTGTTGATGCTTCCAAGCATTGGAGTCGCAATGAGACTCATGGATATTGCTGGCCGAAGGTAATAATAATAATAATATTCACCCTGAAATATTGGCTGATATGGAACTATTTTATAGTTTATTTATTTCTTTTGACATCGTGATTCAAAATACGCTCGCATTTTGTATGTTATGCTGCAGGTGGCTACTGCTGTCCACATTGCCTGTTCTGTTGTTGGCCCTTATCTTATTAGTCCTCGGAAATGTAATCGATCTCGGCACAATGATGCATGCCGTGATCTCAACCATTAGCGTCATTGTTTACTTCTGCTGCTTTGTCATGGGATTCGGACCAATCCCCAATATCCTCTGCTCAGAGATATTCCCAACTCGAGTCCGTGGCCTCTGCATTGCCATATGTGCTCTCACCTTCTGGATTGGGGACATCATAGTCACATATTCTCTGCCGGTCATGCTTAACTCGATTGGCCTTGCTGGCGTTTTCTCCATTTATGCTTGCGTATGCACTGTTGCGTGGTTCTTCGTCTTCTTCAAAGTCCCGGAAACAAAGGGAATGCCACTTGAAGTTATTACCGAGTTCTTCGCGGTGGGTGCAAAACAAAACACAAACAACTGAGCAGAAAAAGATTACAAACATAACAAGATGGTTAAAGTCGTCAAACATTCGACTTTTTCTCCCATTTTTTTGTTTTTTTTTGTTTTTATCAAGCAACTGCACTCGATCAACCATTTCTGCATGGGGCTGAAAGAAGATAATTTGCTGATATAGTTGAACGGTAGGGAAACATGTAGCTGTCATCTTCTTGCGGATTTATCCCTCATTTTTCCCTTTGATTTGTCGATTATCTATTTATATATAATATGTTTCTTCTAGTCTTATTCCATTGTTTGGCAATGTTTTTGCACAAAATTTTTGGTACTGATATGGTGGAGATCAACGATTCATTTGGATGTTATAGTTTTAAGATATCCATCTCTTCTTTCTCATCATTGTATTTCTGCAAACTTTACTAATTTTCACAAGGGTAAAATACTTTTTTCCATCCGAACTATCACGGTTTTAGCGCATTACCATATAAACTATTTTTTTCTACAAACCACCATATGAACTATACGGGTTTGTCAATTTGCCCCCTAAACCGGATATAAAAGTGGTTTAGGGGGAACATTGACGAACTCGTGATAGTTTATATGGTGGTTTGTAAAAATATTTAGGGGGCACATATGGTGACCAAACAACTTTTTCAATCAAAACCACTTTTATATCTGGTTTAGGGGGCACATTGACAAACCTGTATAGTTCATATGGTGGTTTGTAAAAAAAAATAGTTTATATGGTGATGCGACAAAATCGTGATAGTGTGGATGGGAAAAAGTATTTTACCCTTTTCACAACCTTCTTTTATTACTAGTACGTACTTAGGGCGTGCAATGCACGGAACAATAATTATAAATTACATGTATTAAACCAATGAAAGAATGTTGATTATTATAAAAATAATTTGGAATACTAATGTTAATTTTTTATTTTATTTTATGATATATAATAATGTAAAAATATGATTTTATACTTATTCCACTCATTATAGAATAGTCGTCATTTTAGAGTTTTTGTTTGTTATTAAAGACACTGAAAATTTAACATGTTAAAATATTATCGATAAATAATACTCACATAATATTGATCTCTCACGGTCTTCCATTACATACATTATTATAATATTTAATTTTTAAATAAGTTATGCTAAAATTGAAAAATTGTAGCAAATATCATAACCAGAACTCAATTAAAAAAATTGTAATATTATTATTTTGAAGTTAAAAAATATTGATTTTTAATTAAGTTAATATTATTATTTTTTTATGATTATAATAATTTATATTATATTTGAAATTTTCTTTCTTATTTGTTAATTATGGATAAAATAAAAGTATATTTTTTAAATCCATGATAGATTTTTCATTATATGGCTCGTTACCAAATGAATAGAAATCATATGGATTTGTTATTAATGTTGAAATATCAATTCTATTGAAATATTGTATAATTATATCGATAATATTTTTGCAGTTGATTTCTATTTTTTTTTTCATGCTTATAATTTGCAATGTTGTCAAGCATATTTCGGTGTACATATGGTTGGATGTCCAACAAAACACGAGAACACATTTGTTATTAAGGATAAATAGAGAAAAATACTCTCCCTACTAATGGTTTGACAAATAATATTAAAAATACGAAATGATAAACTTTCCATCATAAATACCATTGAGATTTAATATCCCAACGCAACCCTATTCTCTCTCTTCCACTTTCTCTCTCTTGAGATTTAATCCCGCTTTCTCTCTCTTGAATTTTTTTCTCTCTTGAACTTTATCGCAACCCTCTCTCTCTCACAATTAATTTCAATTTCAAGAGAAATAGCATGAATCTTACCAAATTGAGGAGGCAATGATTTCAGGAGTTCCCGTCGAAGGTCAGCGTCGAAAGGAGGGAATTACATGGGGAGGCTGAAAGTGAGGGGCCAAAGACAGGTGCT